ATGTACTTTGCCTGTCCTTCAGCCTGTTTCATGTGTTCTGCAGGACCGTGTATGTACTTTGCCTGTCCTTCAGCCTGTTTCATGTGTTCTGCAGGACAGTGTATGTACTTTGGCCTGTCCTTCAGCCTGTTTCATGTGTTCTGCAGGACAGTGTATGTACTTTGGCCTGTCCTTCAGCCGGGTGGGAGCAGACTTCAGGGCACTGATCATCCCACTCTTCCAACAAGCGGCCATGAGGAACTTTGTCAGCACAGTGCAGGAGGCCACAGGGAAGTTCCAACAGGACATGGAGGCCTACACACTGGTGTCCATCCCTGGGCTGCTGTCTGGGACAGTCATGCCATCCATCAGTCAGGTCAGTAACACACATCAGTAACACCCATCAGTAACACACATCAGTAACACACATGCCAACACACATCAGTAACACACATGCCAACACACATCAGTAACACACATGCCAACACACATCAGTAACACACATGCCAACAAATCTCACAGTCCAACACATATCAGTAAAGCCCCATTCTTACATACAATCCAGATAACCAAGGCCTTCCAACCACTCCCAACTTTCCAAGACCATTGTTGGAGACAGCAAGGTTGGCTGTTGTTGGCAATTGGTTTACAAGGTTGATATCTTACATGTATTTGACAGTGTATGCTAGGGTTTTAGGAGTGAGCAGGAGGGCACTGTGTATCTGCTAACTGCATGTCCATTGTATGTTCCAGTCGGGTGTTGTACAACTGCCTATGGGCCTGTTAGAGTTCCCCCCATTGGCTGCTTACTGCAACGGCCTCCTGACGGGGTTTAATGAGCTGCGCCTGTGTGCTCCCATCGGAGTGGTTCCTGAACTGACAACAGTCCTGCAGACGTCCCTGTGTAAGGCAGCGGACGTCATCCTGGCTTTCCACAGGTTAGAGTCCTGGGAAACATGAAATGTTTTGGGAAGTTTTGCTTTTGTAGTTTTTGCAGTCACCTTTCCACCACAGAATCATGTACTGCAAATACTGTATGTCACTTAATGTTTGCGATGGAAAAAGTCTGAGAAAAATACGCAGAAGTATACATTTGTGGTGGTGGCAGGACAAAGAAAGTCGGCAAATTATTTGTTCACAGTAATTTCTGCGGTAATGATACTCTCATCTGCCGAATAAACATACCCCCCGGAATAAACGTACCCCCCCGGACAAATCTTCAAAATCAAATAAACATACCCCCGGAATAAACGTACCCCCCGGAAAATTACCAAAAATTGACC